CGGGGGCCGAGGGAGCGAGCGTGCGCGCCAACGCGCCCCGACTTCCGCACCGCAGCACCGCGGGACAGGCGTCGCGGGTCGCCCAGTCCCCGCACCTCCCGGCGAGCGCACGCCGCGCGCACACACGGGCGCACGCCCCCGCACACTCACTCACACGCGCTGCACACTCACGGCGTGTCCGGCCCCACCCCTGTGCCAGGGAACCGCTGGCTCCCCGCACCCCGCGCGGGCCCCACCCAGTTTATCAGACCTCAGCCCCCTGCTCCGGTGCCTGGGGACCGGCCCGCCGAGGCAGGGGGACGCTGAGGCCGCCCCGCCGCCCATCCCGGAGGCCTGCCCGGCCCGGCCCGACCGGGTTTCCCAGCACTGCGATCACGGCCCCACACGAGGCAAGGAGGAAGGGGCGGCGCCGCGATTGGGGCTGGCACCGGGGATCGGTGACTGGGGCAAACCCCCACCCCCCACCCCCATCACCACCACCTTTTCTGCGGCACAAAAGGTTGCAGACGGAGCCGTCGTCCCCGTGCAACCTACCGGTGGCCCAGAGCTCCGCCGCCTCCGCCGTGCCCGCGAAACCGGAGACAAGGGCGGCAGAGGCGCACGGCCTGGGCGCCGAGATCCGGGCAGAGGCCGCCAGCAGAGCCAGCGGGTACCCACTCGTCACCCACCGCGCTCGGCGCCAGCTACCGCCCGACGTAGTCCCCGCCTCCGCCGCCTCCTCCTCCTCCTCCTCCTCCTCCGCCCGCCTTCCCGCCTCCTCCCTCTGGCTGCAGAGGCGCAGCCCGTCAGCGACGAGCACGCCTCCTGCGCCCAGCTTAGACACCCGGAGGAAGGCGGGCGGGCGAGAGAAAGGCGCTAAGAGGCTTGAAGAAGTTGGTGCGGGCGGTGGAGGCTGTTGCGGACTGGGGAGGGAAGGAGGAGTCGTAGCACCCCCTCTCCAGTGCAGACCTCGCACTCAACTAAAGAGCTCCAACTCGCGGGCCTGGGGACGCTCAAGCTTCCCCACTTAAGTGGTGTATGGATGTTTGTCATTTGTGAGTCTCGGCCTGAAGGGCTCAGCCCTGAGCAGAACTAGAGAAGACTAAGGAGCCCATGAAATTACAAATTATAAGATCAGTCTTGGAAAACTAGTAAATATCCAGTGAATGTGTGTGGCGGGGGGCGGGAGGCTTCAAATTCAGATTCTGATTGGATTAGAAATTTTGAATCTACGAAGACTTGATCTTTTCCATTCTTGTAAGAAATTATTTTCTTTGATCAAGATTTTCTTTTCTCGGTTCGTGTATGTCTTCTCTGCCAAACTTGTTAAGCTCAGACATAAGAATGTTTACTGGCATTTATTTAGCTCTCACTATGTGCCAGGCCTTTTTACATGCGTTTCCATATTTATACCTCTCAACAACTCTGTAAGGAAGTACCCAAATATGATCCACATTTTAAAGATGCAGAAAGTTTAAGAAACTTCCTTGAGGTCTCATACCTAGTAAGAGGTGAACTGGGTGTGAACCCGGGCAGTGAGCCCCAGAATTGTTTATAAATTTAAATTTAGGTACTTGTCTCAAACCAAGAGTTTGTTTTGTTTTATTTTTAAACAAAAATGCTTTATTTGAACATAAAAGACATAAATTTGGTGTAGATTAATACAAATTTAAACACGTCTTGATTCAAATTCGTTCCAGGTTCTATATATGTCCCTGATAATATAAAGATAAATAAATATGAACACCGGAATGACTCCTGGAGGCTCCTCAGATAGAAGACATTTTATATTACCTCTATGTGCCCTAAAATAATTATGGGAAGGTGGAGGGAAGAGGAAATTTTAAAGAATGTTCTGTAAACAATTTTAGAAGACATCAGTTACTTTTTTTCCAACATAGATATGTATGTAGCTTCTCAAATATACAACCTGGCTCAACACAGTATGTGCTGAATAAATAAATGGACTTTTTTTTTTTTAGTTATAACTGGTAAGGGGATCTTAACCCTTGACTTGGTGTTGTCAACACCACGCTCTCCCAAGTGAGCCAACTGGCCATCCCTATATAGGGATCTGAACCCTTGGCCTTGGTGTTATCAGCACCACAGTCTCCCAAGTGAACCAAGGGCTGGCCCTTCATTTCAGATTATAATCTATTTGACACAGTAATGTATTGTTCTGATGATCATCCTCATAAAACCACTTCCAAACATTGTATATTTTATATTCAGAAACCCAATTTCTTTCTGTCCTGTCTGCCATCTTATAACTTTTTCAGAAGAATGCCTTGTACTTGCCCTTTGCTCTGAAAGTTCAGCAATGTTCTTTGGCCAAAAGCAATAAAGTTCTGGTTTGCCTTTGAGTTTATTAGGCTGAAGTCTAGCCCTCTTCACAGGGCGTCTCCAAATTGCCTCCCTCCCTGGGTGGTGCTCCAAGCTCCCATCCTAGCCCTGACTCTTCACCCAATCAAAACATGGGTCGGTCCTTGAGTGTCACAAAGAACACCTAATAAACCAATTCACCAGGCAGTAATGGCTGATAATACCTTTATGTGTGGCCACATCAGGGATATGTCTAGGCCACCAAAAGACTCTGACTAGGTACTGTCTTAATTCAGACTGGGTGTGGGTTGCACGGGCTGTGGCTGAAGTGGATATGAAGGGTGGGAGTAATAGAGAAGCCTTTCGTAGCATTTTTCTGTGTTCTGTGAAAATCTATTCATTCTATGAAGAAAGATGGCATACTTATAAAGGATTAGGCCCAAATGCGGAATAGAGCTTGTGATCTGAAATGTGTTCTGAACCTGGGGGCTAAGACACTCTATCTCAAATGCCCCTTGTGTAAGTTACATCTTTGCCTCAAGGCTTTCTTTCCAGAAAATCACTTTAAAATGTCTATTGTCTGAGAAGGATTATACATTGATTTAAATAGTGTCACCTGGCAAACAACCAGCTTGTGAGAACAGGATAGGTGAATATGATAACAACATAGCAGTATAAAACAGAAACTACAAAGCCAGGCATCAAGAAATGACACTTCGTCTTCTTTTCTGTAAACCAACTTGTTTCAGGCAGGGTCTAACCAGGAAAATGGAGACCACTTCAAATATCTACAAATGGAGATAATAAATGCAAGGAATTCGTAACACAGGTGATGGAAGAACTCAAAAGCTAAACAGGGGATGGTGAAGTAACCCAGGAATTAGCAACTGCAGTCCCTGGTTTGAGAAATAAGAAAGGGGGCAGGGTGGCTGGAGCACAGGAGCCAGGCAGCATGGTCAGCCTGGTGGGAGCTGCCACCACAGAGGAGGCACAGCCACCACTAAAGAAGCAGTCCATGTTAGGAAAAAGGGGGACACGTACCACAGATTCTCCTCTCCTGCTCTCCAATCTCCTACCATGGGAGCCAGGGAAACAGTCTGCAGGGGTCAGCCCCTTGAGACACAGGAGAATAGGGGAAGATGAGGGAGTGTCAATCTGCTGAGGATCAGCACATCGTTTTACTTCACTTTCAAGGCCGTAGTCTTTCCTAAAATTTATTCCCACTCCCTTGGTGTATCAGTTTGTTTCTGCTGCTTATAAACAGAATGCCTGAAACTGGGTAATTTATAAAAAAATGAAATTTATTTATTACAGTTTTGGAGGCTGCAAAGTCCTCAGTTCAGGGGGTACATCTGGTGAGGGCCTTCTTGGTGCTGGCTCTCTACAGAAATGTAGGGTGTCACATGGGAAGAATCACAAAAGCAAGGGAGCTAACCATATCACACACTCTCCTTACAAAGCCATCAGAACCACACCTGTTACTTCATGAATGGATCAGTCCATTCAGGAGGGCACAGTCCTCACAATCTAATCACCTCTTAAAGCCCCGACCTTTCAAATACCATAAGTGGATTTCTTACTCAGTTAACAATGTTACAATGGGGAGTCAAGTTTCCTATACATAAACTTTTGAGGGGCACATTTGACCCATAGCACCTGGGTAGGGTCAAAGTTCCAAAAGAACAGGCCATGCCAGGACATCGGTGGGTGGTGATGACAGGGGTTGGGGGGAGGTCCTTTGGTTTCATCTGTCCACAGAGATTTCCTTTGTCCCTTTCCAGAACTGTCACTTATGGCTACATGCTGAAGTGCACAACATGTCCATAGATGGGATGGCTCTGCCCTACATATTTGGATTGTCCCTTCCGTTCTCTCTTACTCCAGAACCACACATGAGGTCAGAGAAATATCTGAGGTCTGGGACCATCCTGATAAGCCTCACATATCCTGAGTCATTTATATTTAGGACCTTATGTTGCTTCCAGAATTTAGGGCTCAAATCCCACTGCCTTGGGACATGCTGACCTCTCTCCCCTTCTTTCCAGATGCAGGAGAATCTCTTAGGGAAAGGCCTTCCTCTTCCTTCTGTTTTCCCCACACACTGTGCCTTTGCCAGCAAACTCTGTCCCCTCACACATCCACATGCAGGTGTCAAGCAGGAGGTTGGATATGTGGAGTGGGAGCTCAGAAGGGAGATGCAGGCTGCCCTTCCAACTAGACTGCTTATAATTCCACACTCACATACTGCTTTTTCATCATTTGAGCCTGTAGGCAATTATTCTCCACCCCTGTCTCTCAGTCTATCCCTACACATTCCTCAGGTGTCAGTGCATATGTCACCATCTCTGGGAAGAGTTTCCTGGCTCTTCTCAGTGTTTCTCCTTTCACTACTCTAACACTTACCACATGGTGCTGAAATAGACTGTACATTCTCTGTGGGCATGGATTATGTCTAACCCCCAAAGTAAGCCCAGAAACTGACATATAATAGGTGCTCAGTAAATATTTAGCTTATTTTATCTGAGAGGAAGAAGAGCCTACAGGTAAGGCCTGCTGGAGCCAGCTTTTATCAGACTTGGAAGAATTGATTGCTAAATTTTCAGGAACATCACAAGCTGGTTATTGAATCACTGGTAGCTTGAAATCAGCTATGGTATGAATATTTATACCATGGAAATTGGCAAATACTATAAACAAGGCTTCCCACCCTTCTCTAATCTCCTTACCCCCAGAAAGCCACTTTATCAGTATACTATTTGGTAAGTGTCAAGGAGCCCCTCCTGTGTGCAGAGGAGGCAAGTAGTTCAGAGAATTAAAATCTATGATTTCAGAAATATTCTTTCATAGATACAAGGTGTAATTAAGGTCCATAATTTGCATAGAAAGGTCTACTTAACTCTTACTTATATCAGTAAAAAAGAAGATAGAAAATAGAGAAGGAAAGGGAACAGAAAAAAATGAAAGTAGTATAAACATCACTGGGGACTTCACTTCTCAATTCCAGCTCTGACACTGAGATTCAGGGTGGTCACCAAATTATAAGTATCCTAAGAAACTTCTCTGAGTTGGGTTTATAACATGTCCCTCACAATACCTAGACTGACATATAACAGGTACTCAAAAACTACCACCTGAATTTGCTAAATTCAGCTTTACTTCTCTTAGCCTCAGTTCCTTCATCAGTAAATTAAGAGATGAGAGATAGGGCTTTCAAAAAGGTCTAGTAAGTAGTACCCCTCTTCCCTGCCCCATTCCAGACAAACTGAGAAGTAAGACAAAGGCATGAAGATGTAGCCAATTGTTTCTGTAACATTGGAGGACATAGTTTAGTGTACACTTACAATGGCCCTATTTTTAAAATCCCAGAATTAGACTTATGTAC